AACGATGAACCACACGAACGGCATCGCAATATTTCCGGAGGCCTCAACACAAGGTAGACCCACAGCCATGCTTCTCCCCCAACGCCCGCCACCAGATACCACCAATGTCGAGAGCCCAACCCTGCGCAGCTCCGAGTTCCCCCCACTTGAGACGCCTCGCGCGACATCAAGATCGAGGGGCCGATCCAGGTCACGGAGCAGAACTCCCCGTCGACTAGCCAAACCCAGCAGGTCGAGGTCAACATCAAAGGCCAGACACAGCATCGGGTGGAGCGAGGTGGTAGCCGGTCACCCCAAGACCAAGCCAACCTCACGCACTGCAGACAAGACTTCCACCAAGCTCTCAGAGTTGAAGACTATGGTGGAGAACCTTCAAGACACAGTAGCACGACTTCTGCTACAAACTGCAGAGTCCGAAAGACGAAGGAAGGAGGCCGAAGTTCGGTATAGCGCAGTACAGCAGCAACTCGACTGGCCGAGAAATGAAGCAGGACCAACTCCCAAGAGGAGGGCTGTCCGCCGCAACATGACACCACTCACTTCTAACCCCTCGGGCACAACCACCAAGGATGAAGGAGTGGCCATGCAACAGGACACGACCAACCAAGACATAGACACACGCATAGACCAGCTGGAAGGCGAGATGCGCGAAGTAAAGCGCTACTTGAAGACCATCCTTGACAGACTCCCAGAACCCAACAATGGCCAAGACAAGTAAAGGTTGCATTGTGTGGCAGTGGAATTGTCGAAGCTGGGCTCCGAAGAGGGGACACCTTCACCAGTACCTACAATCCCTACCACCAGAACGCAGACCAGACGTTTTGGCCACACAAGAAACGTGGGAGGCCATCACCATTCCGGGATACCAAGCCTTTAATCACACCAACTCATCAGGGGTCGTACGAGTCACCACGCTAGTGCGACGGAACCTACCACCACAACTTCATTCAACCGGCATCGAAAACATCGAGCACACCTTCATCGAAATCTTGGCGGGCAAGAAGAAGAGCCATCGCAGCACGTTCATCCTCAATGTATACAGTTCTCCGAAGGCACGACACTCGTTTCACCAGCTCCTGCGCGCCGCCATAGACATGGCCAAGGGAAAAGCTCTGCTCATCGTTGGAGACTTTAACGCACCACACATGTCATGGGGCTATCCGCGGGACAGCGCTAAGGGTCGGCAGCTTTGGCAGGACATTGCCACCCTGGGACTGGACCTACTTACAGACCCGACGCAGCCAACTCGGAAAGCCACGGGCGGATACAAAGACACATCACCAGGCCTCACACTCGGTCACTGCTTGGACGCAGAATGGCACAACACCCTGGAAACTCTGGGCAGTGACCACTATATCCTCAACATCCTCCTGAGACGCGGCCCTACGAAGCCCATGGGAAGGCCTCTGCGAGTGGTCGAGTGGGACACTTTCAGGCAGGAGCTTGACGAAGTGGACCGAGACGGAGAGATCAAGGACCTGGATCAGTGGACCGCAGGCATCAGAGAAGTTGAAGTTGAAGCCTCAGCCACAAGAAACATTCCCGAGGAAGCAAATCTGACCGCGGCGGACAGTCGGCTCCTGCACCTATGGGAAATGAAGGCAAACCTTGAGGCACGCTTAAGGCGAAAGAAAGGAAATCGTCGGCTACGCAAGCGAATCGCAACATTGTACAAGACCATCGAGAGTCACGCCACCTATCTCACAACTAAGCAATGTGAAGACACCTGCAACGAGTTCGAAGGAGCTCCCAACACTCCAAAGACGTGGAACATCCTTCGACATCTCCTCGACCCCGGACAAAGCCGAACCACAGTCCGAAATCAGATGGAGTGTATCCTGAACTCATTCAAGAGAGATGGAAACGAGCTTGTCCAAGAAGTAGAAAAAAAGTATATCGGACGAGCTCCGCCAACACCTGCGATGGAATACACGGGCCAGCCAAACCTTACGCTAGACGAAGAGTTCCGACCCTTCGAAGTCATGGCTGCGATCCGAGAGCTCAAGATCCGCTCCGCTCCAGGACCTGATGGAGTCTCCAACAAGCTACTGCGGCACTTGGATGACAGAGAGATTGACCGGCTAACATCATACTTCAACGTCTGCTGGCAAAAAGGAGAAATCCCAGAATCCTGGAAGACTGTGAAGATGGTGTTTATACCCAAGCCTGGGAAAAAACTTCAGCTGGAAGCCCTGCGCCCCATTTCGCTCACGTCCTGTCTCGGGAAAGTCTTGGAGCATGTCGTACTCAATCGCCTTAACAGGTACGCAGAGGCCAACAAAGTCTTCGCGGACACGATGGTCGGGTTCAGACCCAAGCTCTCGACGCAGGACGTGATGCTCCGACTGTATCATCAGCTTGTGGCAAGGGAATACGCACCCAAAAGGGACACCAGAGCCATACTCGGGCTGGACATCTCCAAAGCATTCGACAATGTCAGCCACGCAGCCATCCTCCGTGGGCTAAACTCCATTGATGTGGGCGAGCGCATCTTCAAATACATACAGAAGTTCCTATCAAGTAGGCAGGTGCAGGTCTTGATCGGCGGTTTCCAATCTGACCTGCAAACTCTGGGCGGAGTCTGAACACCGCAAGGAGCAGTGCTCTCTCCGTTTCTCTTCAATATCGCCATGAAAGATTTACCGACGAAACTACAAGGTATCCCCAACCTTCACCACAGCGTATACGCAGACGATGTCACTCTGTCGATGGTAGGAGGAAGCGATGGCGCCATCCAAGACTCGCTGAAAGAAGCTATACGCATCGTGGAAGCCTACGCTAAGGAGCGCGGACTAGCCTGCTCCCAGGAAAAGTCGGAGTTGCTACTCATGGCCGGCACCACGGTAAAAAGTCCCTCAGGCATCATACTGCAGGTCGGAGGCAAAGACGTCCCTCGGGTCCGGCGACTTCGGATACTCGGTCTGTGGTTGCAGGAGGATGGCAAGAACACATACAGCATCGGAGTCCTCCGTAACCACGCACAGCAAGTAGGAAGACTCATAGCAAGAATCACCGGAAAACGGTACGGGATGAAAGAGCGGAATGTCATTCGCCTTATCAAAGCCTTCGTGATTAGCCGGATTGCCTACATTGCATTCTTCCTGGACTTTGCACACACAGAGAGGGATGCCATCGATCGCATCATCCGCTGCGTATACAAGAAAGCGCTTCACCTAACACCTTCAACAGAGACCAAGCGACTCGAGAAGCTTGGGCTTCACAACACCCTCTCGGAAATCATTGAGGCACAGAGGATAGCCCACTACGAAAGGCTATCTCTGACCACAGCGGGAAGAACCATCCTCACATCTTTGGGCATCAACTACCACCCAACAGGGCACAGTACGCGAGGCTGGCTTCCAAACGAGCTACGCGAGCAACTAAAGATTTCGCCTCTGCCTCGTCACATGCATCCAGTGCACGACGCAGGCAGACGCATGGCCAGAGTGAAGGCTCTGGAGAACACTCTACAACAAGGCTACGACGACTCCGAGGTGACCTATGTCGACGCAGCCTCAGCTGACAGGGGTCGAATGACCCTTGCAGTTACGAATCGCTCCGGCCAAATCCTCACGGCAGGCAGCATGTACACCAGCAACAGTGCAGAGGCAGAGGAGGCAGCCATCGCCTTGGCCCTCACCCTCAGTACCACGAAAGTCATCGTCAGTGACTCCCAGATGGCCATCCGCCAGTACATGCGTGGTCACATCTCTGACAAAGCCTTCAAGATCGCCACTGGTCATCGTCTGATTGACCACCCAGTCCGCATACTGTGGTCTCCAGCCCATGCGTCACTCCCAGGCAACGAGAGTGCTCACAGTGCAGCCTGCGCTCTTACCAACCGGGCTAGCACACCAAGTGAGCACTCGACCTTCGCCACGTGGAACCACGACAACCTCTACACATTTAAGGGGGTGCTGGACCACTACCGAGTAGAACGCCGAGCCCACCCAGAGGCTCACAGCACTCTCAACAAGGCAGAATCCACCATCCTCCGTCAAGTCCAGACGGAGACCTTCCTCAACCCGGCGCAGTTGCACTCGTGGTACCCAGATACCTACGACCCGTCTTGCAGGAACTGTGGCGAGATCGCCACACTCCACCATATACTCTGGGGGTGTCCGGAACTGCTTCTTCATTCGAGAATAAGGAGTTCATCAAGCAAGCCAGGCAACCAGGCGCCTGGAAATCCTTCCTCCGGGATCCTGACCCCACGGCTCAGAAAATTCTAGTCCAGCTGGCCTCGGACGCCGCCGGAAACATCGCGTCTCGTCTGTCGACCGAGGGGATCGCTTCGTCAAGGGTCTCTCCCTAAGAGAGACTCGGTTGACGCGGGGATCTAACAGTCTTGAACCCAATAAAGTCTACCTCACCTCACCTCACTACAAAAACAAAGGTCTCGTACAATACTGTCATTAACCTTGGCACTGTGCGACTATACTTAGTCACTAACTGAAAAAGGAAGAAAAAAGAATGTAAAAACCGGAGTCAATAAGTATTGAAGAGAATAGTTCAACAACCATTTTATTGAGAAAATATTGCAAGAAGAGCCCCTTCCCTCTTCTAACGGCGTCATTGAGTAATTCACGGCTGTGGTTGATGGAACGTTGTAAATCTTACGGACGATTGCAAAAATGATGAGGATACGTTTATTTAAAACACGAGCACAAGTGAAGTTTAATAGTTAGAGGACTATAGTCCGTTGCAACCTAAGAACAAAGGGCGAGGGTAAGACGGGCCGGGGAGGAGGAAGCAGACAGAACGCTGGAGACGAGAGAAGAAAACCTCCTTCTTTCTTTAGCGTTCCGTCTGCTTAATCCTCCCCGGCCCGTCTTACCCTCGCCCTCCGTTCTTAGGTTGCAACGGACTATAGAAAGTAATCATTGCATATTCAAAATGAGGATATACCTACATCCCAGTTATAGTTTTTTTTTATGTTTTACATATAATTAAGCGTAAAAACTAAAAACAGAAAGCACCGTGTGCAATTCAAGTGCAAGTTGTTTACGCGTTTATTTTGAGTAAAATAATCTTACACACCCGAGTGTTACTTTGGGCTTGTCACGTACAATAATGAAAGCAAACGAGAGCTTATTAAAAGCTACGAGGAAGGATCGCTACAAAAGTGAACCGAGAGTGCAGGTTCGTCTGCAGCGTAAGTGCGTCCGTAGTTTCCAACTCGAAGCCATAATGCAATACGCTACATAAAATCAGATAAAAAGGTGAGAACCGAGCACACAAAAATGCACACTAAAAACTCTCGTATGAGCCGGTGGGAAAGACCTCCTTGCGCCACACAGCTTTGGCCGTTTCGCAGAGAAGACAACAGGCAATGACCACAAACGCGACTCCGAAACAAAGACCGACGAGGCTTTCGACGGATCCGTTAGACAACTCTGCGCCACGGCTTGGGACAGGAGTGCTCACGGCGTACGTCACGAGCTCACACAAGGAAACTGGATCGTGACTACGCGCGTGAAGGATGACGTAGTGTCCTCGAAGAACCTCGGAGCACTGCAGGTATAGGACGCGATCCGTCAGGAGAGTGCCGTGGAAGACAGCGCAAACGGGATTCTTGAGGAGAGCCACGGAGTAGTTTCCGACACGAACCGTTAGGGTTACCGCCGGCGAAGACGCCATGTTCGCAGAGACGCTCATCTTAACCACGGAAACGGGAAGTACGCCTCGCTGTTCCACGACGAACCATGGTGAATTACGAAACACTGCGTTACAGCGGTTCACGGTCTTACTTTCGATGATGAGCTGTTGGTCACCATTGGGGTGAGGGGCAGGTTGGTAGGCCAACTTGGCCACGACATGCTTGTCTACGCAAGAGGGCGGTCCTGGAGGATACCAGGAGCCATCGGTTCGACAGACTTGGCTGTCGTGGCCCAGGAGTGCATATCCCACGTTGCAGACGTAGGAGACCGTTGCGCCGATGAAGCAGTTCGTCTTGTTCACGGGTCGACGGTCTGGGATGGTCCTGCCATTTCTGGGACCTTCTGGGAGTTGGCAGGCCGACGTTGCGATAACGAAGAGAAGCACCGCAAACATGCTGCATGAATATGTGCAGCTGGAGACTGGCTACGGATTGACTTGACGGAACGCCTACTCTTGTCCTTGCGGTCAGAACGGTTCCAGCTTGGTCAGTTTCTAAAGGGAAGACGAAACTTGACGTGACCTTGAAATTCGGGGAAGCCTGCTTTTACCTACTTTAACCTGGTACACCGATGACCCCGGCGGTCACTTGAGTGCTTCTGGAAGGCAGGAACAAGCACCCGAACGTTAGCGTTGAAACTTTTTTTTTCGTCGTGCAAAATGTTAGCGTGATAAAGAAAAAAAACGTCACGCTATTCGCGTCAAATTGGGAAAAAAAAAACATCTGAAATAAACGCACTCCGTCGTAAAAAAAATAATAAAAATATTATAAAAAAAAAGTCACGTCACCCGGACAAACCCGAAAGTCAACCAGTACATGTTTTTTTTTTGTTTTTTTATTATTATTATTTTGCGTCTAAACTTTTTTATCTTTTTTTTTTTTGTTTGTTTGTGGTTTAACCGTGTCGTGAAATTCTGATTAGATAATTCGTGGTAGGCGTCTTACGGGGCCAAAAATGCCATCCCTGCACACGACGTCCCCAAACAAAGCGAGCAAAGATCGCCCGTGTCGTTGATCCCTCTGCACTGCATCGGCCCAGAAGCCATGTGTCCATGCCGCAAATGACGTCACAAGTGTGCCGCAAAGGTGAAGCGGAGGGATCAACATCAATTGAAGAGCAGTTATAATAACGCTGCATACTTGACCTCTAATTATAATCATTATTATAACGCTGCTATTTTTCGGTATTAAGAAAAAGGTATATTTACTAGATCTTGGATTTAGTGTTCAAGTAGGCGGTGTTCGATCAAATGTCCGGAGACACTGACAGACCTTTCCACACAAAAAAGAAGTGCACGCGCAGCGGATCCGCCTTGCTTCCCTTTGCATGGCCTTTACGGTAATCTGAGATTAGCGCTAAAGCCGTGGGTCTGAACGCATTATCTCAGCTGAGTACTTTTACAAAGTACTCAGCGGAGATAATGCGTGACAGCGATTTTAGATTAGTTCACTCACGTGCATGAACGGTCTGAACATTTTTTTCTGCTTTAATTTGGTACACATTTAGTTGCGGCGTTCTATGTTTGGTCCATCATTAAATTGGTTTGATCAATTAAATGCAAGTGATGACAAAAACAACCTCGAGGAATATTTTAATTAACAGGCTGGTGGAAGTCTACCACCATGGTTTTAACCCGAGACTGGGACAGGAGGAGGAAATTTTTTTTACAGTTCCAAGTTCTTCAATTCTAAAATAATTTCCTCCACCCGCTCCAGTCTCGGGTTAAAACCACCAGAGTATCTTTTCTCTTCTTTTGGAGTCATTCGGTCTGCCCTGTAAGTCGCAACAGTTGTTGGTGGAAATAGTACAAACGATTGTAAACGAATACGATGAATTTATTCGAAACACAGAGTACACGTAAAGTTCACTTGTTAGATGACTACGGCGTAATGATTACACACTAAGGAATGATTACATATTTTTTGTCAATAAGCCATGTACACATTTAAAAAAGAGCAGTTTGAAAAAAAAAAAAAAGGCAAATTTGGTACGCGTGTATTTTCAGTAAAAATAAAAGCACGCCCGAATGTTATCGTAGGCTTGTCACGATAAGAAAACGAATCCATTAAAATACGGCTGTGTACAAATGTGGACAGAGGCCGCAGGTCCATTCATACATAGACTTGTCCGCTAGCTTTTGATTTGTAGCTCACGAAACTTTAAAAAACACGAACACAACGCGCTAAATAAAAACATAAAACTGAACGTACAAAAATTACACATATCACTAAAAACGTTCATATGAGCCGCTGGAAAAGAGCTCTCTGCGCAGCACAAATTTCGCCGTTTCGGAGAGAAGGCAACAGGCAATGACCACAAGCGCGGCCCCGAAACAAAGTCCGACGATGTATTTCACGGATCCGTTGGACGACTCTTGGCCACGGCTTGGGAGAGGAGTACTCAGGGCGTACGTCACGAGATCACATACGGAGACTGGATCGTGACTGCGCACGTGAAGGGTGACGTAGTGTCCTCGAAGAACCTGAGAGCACTGAAGGTATAGAGCACGATCTTTCAGGAAAGCGCCGGTGAAAACAGCGCAGACGGGATTTTTGCGAAGAGTCGCAGAGTAGTTCCCGACGCGAACTGATAATGTGACCACCGGCGAAGACGTCTTGTTCGAAGAGAGGGCTATCTTAACCACGAAGACGGGAAGTATGTCACGCTGTTCCACGACGAACCAGGGTGAAGTACGAAACGCTGCGTTACAGCGGTTCACGGTCTTACTTTCGATGATGAGCTGCTGGTCGCCATTGGGGTGGGAGGCAGGCTGGTAGACCAACTTGGCCATCACATCCTTGTCCACGCAAGAAGGCGGTCTTGGAGGATACCAGGAGCCACCGCTTCGACAGACTTGACTGTCGCGGCCCGCGAGTGCATATCCCGCGTTGCAGACGTAGGAGACCGTTGCGCCGATGAAGCAGTTCGTCTCGTTCACGGGTTGACGGCCTGCGATGATCCTTCCGTTCCTGGGTGCCTCTGGAAGTAGGCAGGCCGAAGATCCGATGACGAAGAGAAGCACAAACATGCTGCATGAATACGGTGCAGCTATAGAGACTGACCGCGGATTGACTTGACGCAGCGTATACTCTTGTCCTTGCGGTCAGTGTGACTAAACTGATGGCACGGTTCCAACTCGGTCAGTTTCTAAGCGGCGACAGGAACTGATGTGACCTTGAAAAGACAAAAGCGATTCACCTTCACAATACGGGGATGCGGCTTCTTAATAGGACGACGACAATGTGGGGAATCCTGCTTTGACATAGATTCAACTGGTTCATTCATGGCCCAGCGGTCACTTGATTGCTTCTGGAAGGCAGGATTGAGCGCGCGATTTTTGCCAAAGAAGCATCTTTCTTTGGCGCGCAAAATGTAAGTGTAGTGAAGAAAATTTACGTCACGCTTCCCGCATAAAAATAGGGCTTGGAAGCAAACATCTGGAGGAAACGCGCTCCTCGCGAAAAAAGAAAGTCACGTCACCCGTACAAAAACGAGAGCCAACCAAAGTATGACTGGGGTTCCCGACAGCAGGCCGTACCTTGGCTCATTCTTTTTTTTTTTTTTTATACTAGTTTTTATTCCAAGAAAAAACCAAGTTTTGCGCATTGTTCATACCCGGCGCGAAGTAGTCCTTACGAGGTTTGGTTGTCGAAGGAAAGCGCGATGCTTTTGGTGTTTGGAACGTGTACGTCCTGATAAGATAACATATCTCTAATCTAAAATTCACTTACATATATTTTAATTATCAACATAAAGGGAGAGATTAGTAACGCTCTGCGAGGGGCCGGACTCGTTTTACTACGGTTCTTGACAAGGAAACAAATATAGACGACTTTTTTTTAGAGTGTCAACGGCTCTCTCGCCATCATTACTACCGGACTATAGCACTCCAGTTTAGTACGCATTACTGCAAAATGTAACCGATTACAATTACACTTTATTTATTGCAAAATGAAACTGATTACAGTAATCAATTACAGCATCACAAAATAAAATGAATAATTACCAGAAAATAAATTATTCCGTTTCAATTTGCATTTTATTAAGAAATAAAGAATGTGCAGGTATGTTCAAATTGGTTACATTTATTTTCATTCACACCTATCGCTAATAGAAATAGTCACCTCCTTCAGCTTTCAGTAATAGAGATACAGACATAGATAGCGAGAGAGAGAGAAAGAGATGGGGAGAAATAAACAGCCACATGCTGGACTACTAGAAATCCCGATCTAGTCACAAAAACGATCGTAGATATCACTGGTGATCTCTTTCGAGATGGAAGGGAAAGGGAGAGGGTGGTGTTTGGTTCTGGCTAGATGTGGTCAGTGAAGAACACAGTCCCGTATCGTAACACGTACACAGGACACGACAGGTACTCGAAGCTCGACGTCAAAACGTCGCTGAGCGCGTTGACATTCTAATTCTTCTGGTATCTCTTTTTTTATTTGTTTAGTGATGAAAAAAGTGTCCAACGTCGGTGCAACATAGACAAGTGACGCACGCGCGGACAGAGCGATCTTTACGTAAAAAAAAAACTCAACTCAATAATGGTAGCTCTTTCGAAAACATATATTTACGTAATTGATTACAGAAAAAATAGTAATTGAACTACACCGAAAGTTACCAAAAGAAATGTCATTGAAGCGATAAAAAGTTACAATAAAATGTAATCGATTACAAGTAATCAGGAGTCACTCGCTACGTACAAGTCTGCATCGCTCCAACTATGCTCCGTTCTTCCTAAGCTGACTGTACCGTAATGGCTACGTGCCCATTGGACCAGACTTGACCAGGCATAAGTCTCTTTCTCCACGTGATCGCGCTCTCAGCGTAACATGAAGAGTAGTAGTAGTAGTAGTGCTTTATGAAGAAAAGGCAGAGATTTTAACCCGAACGCCTGTTCTATACTCCGTTTCACCTTATGTTGTACCGCAGACAAGGCTAGAAGCGCGAGCTCATAGCGTTGGGCCGCCGAGATGTGCCCTAGAGCAAGGAGCTCGTGCTTTTAGCCTTTCCTGCGGTACATCATAAGGTGAAACAGAGTATAGTTTGCTACTCTGCACCGGGCATAGGGAGAGGGGGAAGGAAAGACATAGCAGTGGGGTAGGAATTTGAGGTGCGAATTGTCAATGAAGATGATTGTGACCAAGTGAATCCTGTAAACAGTCTCATATAAAGTTCTCAGTCATTTAGAGTCTGTCCAAAAGTCCTGTGTTTCTCAGAAATCGTATTAGAGCCTCGATGGCCTTCATAAACTGTTCGGTTGTGTCTCAGCTGCCAAGCACTTTGAAAGCGCTAAACGGACGCGAATGTATTTTTTGTAATGTTTCTTGAAGCGTTTGGCGTTCTTCCTCGAACTCAACACACTGGCATAAGGTATGCTCAATTGACCCCTTCACCGCACAGCTGGTGCAATTCCCGCAGATGTTCTGTCCTATTTGACAGAGGAACAGAAACCAAAACACATCGCTGTACAGTAGCGAACGATATGAACAAGCCCAAGTGAGCACGTGCTTTACAACTACAAGGCCTGCCGCGCTATCTATCAAAAGGAAGCTCAACCATTATCGAGGCTACAACGGCGGTTCAATTT